AAAATGGTGCTCCACTATGTATTTTTTGTTAATTGAATGGACTACAAGTGTTTGATAAATTGAAAAATGAAAAAGAATTGTCATTAGCCTACCATTTTACTAACTTAGAATTTCTTGTTTGAACTTTAGAATAAATAAAAACTCATGTTCATGTATGGTGATTATCATAAGCAATAACAAAATCATAATTTTTAGTAACGTCAATTTTTTTTTTAAATACACTAAGAATCTAGGAGAATTCAATACATATATATGGCTCCGCCACGGATCATAGATGCAGTAAAAAGAACAATACTTAACGAATTCTTGGTGTAAGTTTGAAAATTGAAATGAACCTATAATATTAAGTATGGTTTCGAAGGAATTCATAACTTTTATTTGGATTATGAAATCTATTAAATATATATAGATATTTATTGTGACTCAGTAATTAGTTAACTAGCTAGTTATTTTATAATTCAAACAGTTAAAATTTAGACTTTTGCTTATTTTAAATTAGCTAGGACGCAGAATACTATTGTACAATTTTTTTGTTATGCGCTTATGAAGGTTACATTCATTCAAAAGTGAAAATACTTTTCGAACCGATAATTATCTTTTGTAGGTCATTAACTTGCTCGGTTTTTCATCCAACAAGTGGTAGTACATGAATATTCACATATATATATATATATATATATAGCCCATCAATTATGCTTTTTTTGTATGATCTTAGACCCTTACTCACTCTCCGTTGACAAACTTAATTGGTAAAGAAACTCTTAGATTTTTGGGGCATTAGACTCTCAATCACTATACAAAAAGATAACAATAGTACTTAAAAGCAAGGAATTGGTCCCATAGTGTATTGAGTTGACAATATAGTAGCCAGAGATCAATAAGGAGGATAATATGATGAATATGATCTGTTCATCGTTAACTAAGTCTCAATTTGAATTGTACGTATGAAATAAATTCTATCAATATATGTTTTCCTCTTAAATGACCTTATGTGGAGTACTAAATTTAAATTAGGTTAGACTCCAATACGAGAAAAAATAACACAAGTAGGGGTTAGTGATGTGGAAGAGTATATATTAAGACAGGAAGATGGCTAAGGACCTATCGTTTGAAATTTAGTGGTGGGACTAAAACTTATTCACTAGACATCGTAGCGTTGATTTTTCTGCACTCCCACTGTTACTTGCACATATGTGTACACGTATGTCTCCTCTACTTTATTTTTGGTGTTCAATATTTATTTTGTGATTTCGATTAACTTATGACAAAGTAATATTCATTTGAAAAGAAAATATATAGTAATATTTTTTAATTCACAAAATGTTAAATTAGGTCTTAGGCCTAACTCACACCCCAAAAGCTAGCTCAAAGGGAGGAGGATTTCCCAAGCTATATAAGGAGTTCACCCATCTCATTAACCACCGATGTGGGACTATTGTCATTCTTTAACATCCCATCTCACGCCCAGTGCATCTTAGCATCTGGTGTGTGGGCAATTTTGATTTTGGGGCCCCCAACATCGGGTGAGACGGACCCTGCTCTGATACCATGTTAAATTAAGTCTTAGGCCTAACTCACACCTCAAAAGCTAACTCAAAGGGAAGAGGATTGCTCAAGCCTTATAAGGAGTCCACCTATCTCATTAACCACTAATGTGGGACTTTTGTCATTCTTTAACACAAAACTCGAATTATTACAAAGATATTTTATCGCATACAAATAGTTAGTGTGGTACGTAACCATGATTAATCGTGATGGTGTCACCAAATCTTCAACCCATTTACACGACAAGTTCTAATTTCATTTTGAATTACTTAAAATATATTCTAAACCATCTTTAAAATTCAAAATCACTAACTAATTCAATTTAATTCAGTTTTAGTAATATCTTATGCGCGTGTACACTTTTTATGTCTTATCAAATACCATCATATAATAACGCAACAAATCAAAGGCATGCAGATATAAAGAATCATAAGTTACAAATTCACGTAAACTCATTAAATTTTCTCCAAAACTATGTATATTAATCAGACATACAATATTGATCTTTTAGTGTAAACTGTAATTTTCACTAAAAAAAGGAAGAAAGAATTTTGTAAATAGAAGAGTAGGAAAGCTCATGAATTGGATAAACAGCTGGAAGAATTGGAATTTTGTTTGGAAAAAACTCCTTGTAGTCTTGTGATAGAAAATGACGCAACAATTTAATTCTTTACTACTTTTTTGGCTTCAACTCCGTGACATCACAGTAATAACGTATTGAAGTTCCGATTAAATTTGAATTGTTGTCAGGTCCATTTGAAGGTGACACTTCCAATAAAATTTTCTCCATATTCAAAGCTCGAATTCGATAGTTCTGATTATACCTGTATCTCAAAAATTACTATCTATCTATAATGTAAATTTCATTTTGGATCCACCACTACTTCAAAAGTATATAATATAATGTACCCATATATTTTTAGCATATATGAGAAAGTGGCGGTCCAGAATATAATATGTTTGTTGCCTTCACACATGTGTTTGAAGGAAATGTAAGGGAATTAATTCATTAGCATTTTCTCAAAATTTAGCCATCTATTCTACTGCCATAAATCTAGAATAATAATGAGTGACAAAAAACAACCAAGAACCTTCTTTAAATTTGGTCTTTAAATGGCAACCAAAACAAGGGTGTAGTTTAGTGCTCAATGAACTGGAAAGAACTATACGATTTCAAGTTAAATTTTAGCAGAGATCGACAAATAAAAACTAAGTGAGCTATATTTTCACACAATGCTCGAATGTTGTAAATAAAATTAATTACATGATATTGTTAGTAATTAGTATATACTTGACTAATAATTTTTGGGACAATCAAGCTTATGGAACAAGGAGCTAGGGCATATTGTATCTTTTTAAAATTCTTTCTTTGCTTGGCCTTAACATGATCAAATGGAGATACAAATGTATTTGAAACTAATGTGGAGTTGTGGGCACATGCAAGTTTCAAAGGGAAACTTAGAGAATTTTGACAAAATTGTGTCACTTTATAAAATAATTTTCTTGTATTCAAATTATAATGAGTCGAGCTAGGGTTAGTCTATTTCCTCTTTATGAGGGAACCTTTGAAAATGAGAGAGAAGACAAGTTGAACCGAGAAGAATGTGTTGTGTCTACTTGGAAATAGCTAGAGGACCACAAACCCAACATGTATATATGTATATATATAACTTATAAGAGCCAACAGAGTATATAAAGGCATAAAGATTGAAAATGAGAAAATTTTGTGTTGAGTTATTCAATCCACAAATTAAAATGAGTTAGCTATATATCTAGGTGAGACCAAAAGTGCTCACAAAATTAAAGTGGATATAATGTGTAAAAAAATCCATGTAGTAATGATGACATAGTTTACTTCACCTTGTTTTTTTAATGTCATGAGCAGCCTCTTGCATCGGTTGTCAGTCTCAAATTTAATATAGTAAGGGAATTGTCGAAAGTCGATAAAAAACAATCTATATATTTATTCAGATAAAGCTATATATATCTTATTCTCTTCAGTCTTCAGATCTCATTTATGAAATTACATTACATTTATTGTTGTGGTTGTAATAATGAATATTATTTACAACAACATTAGTAGTAAAAAAGGGATCTGCAAGCTGCAGGGACAAAGGGAAATGTTGCAAGTTGGAAAGAGCAATTTTGGAATCTTAAAAAAGGTAGTAATCATCTTTTTATTTTAAGTAGGAAAAAGGTGAATAACTTTTACCACAAAAATTTAGAACAAAACAAAAAGCATCTTAAAAAAAAGAAGAGAATATTTATCCCATTTAATTATGCTACACGGTATGTAGCATTTGGCTAGCAAAAGAATCCAAGTGTGTGTATATATAAATGCACAATAATTAATATTCCCCAATTTGACACCAACTAATCTGTAACTCTCTCAACTTTTACAATACAAACAAACACTTATATATATATATATATATATATGAACTGATATGTTTGACTGACTACAATTACAATATAACATAACATGACACACACAAAGGAACTGTAAGTACACTGATACAAGGAAATACACTTGAAATCTGAAACTAGAAGCCTAGAATTGGGTTGAGAAGATAGAAGAAGAGGGAGAAAACTTTCAGAATCATACTTAACTGCCTACTTTTTCCTACCCACGTTTTCACACTTTTATACAACTTTCGTAACTAACCGTCGCTTTGCACACGTGACTTTCTTCCTGCCCAAAAGTAACTGTCAATTACACTTCTAGTACTCCGACGTCGCTTGTCAATGTGAATATCACTAGTCTCATCTTCCTTATCATTCATAGTAGCAGATGTTTCCATTGAGTTCACAACATAATCAATGACAAGAACCACAAAAATATATGTTTCAAAAAACTTTTATGAGTGGAAATGCTAATAATCCAAGAACTGGTCTGACCCAATTTATGGAACTTAAAATATATGAATTTGATCAAATAGATATTTTAAGATAAATTTTAAAATTTATAAGTAAACAGGCAAACGCTAGGAAAGTACTTGTAATAATAACTCGACTTTTCCTGTTATACTAACTTACAAAAAGAAAAAAACATTTTGTTAGGCATTGACTATAATATGTGGACATTACTATAACTTTAGCAACAACTTGACTGTGGAAAAAAATGAAGTGATAAAGGACTATATCAAAAGGGTCGTGGTACTTTTCAAGTGCAATAATGAAGTTGGAAGGGGAATGCATGCAATGAGAAGAATTTGGTGGAAAAAATATGAAAAAGAATACAAAATATTTAAGACTTGAAACAATGTACGAAATGTATATTAAAAAGTTTATTATGCAAATAACTATGGATATGACAAACCTTTGAATTTTCAACTTAAATATAAACCGTGGAAAAATTTCTATTGGATAAACAAGACCAATTGTAGCTAAGACTAGTTACAAATTAAACTTGTTTGATAATTCGACATGTATTTATAGACCGAAAAAAATTTCTTAATCATCAATTGTTCACGTTTATTATACGTAACAATATAATAATTATTAGAGTATATATTGAAAATTGGTGAAGTAAAATTGAATTGGCCTGAAAAATAAGTTACATTAGAGAGCAAGCATGAGGATTGTCATCACTGAAAAATTGAGGAGAATTATTAGCATAGTACTCCATGTTGTTGTAGTTGTAATTTTGAGCCAAATTATAATTCTTTATAATTGTATCTTCTTCTTCTTCTTTTTGCTTCTCTTCTTCTTCTTTTTTCTCTTGAATAATATTATTTACAACTGAAACTTGTTTTCCGCTTCTCTTATACACATCATTAACTAGCTTTTCTGGGTCAATATTGACACCTTTTACAATTACTTGACTTTTTTCAACATCTGTCGTAACACATTCTACACCTGCATGTATCACATTATCAAACTAAACTACTAAAGTTGTCACAAAATAATGTATGCACAAAATTAATATACAAGAAGGATGGTCGTGTATATATAGAGGCAAAGCTTATAAGATGTTAAAGTTTATGATGAATTCTGAATAAATTATTTATACGATACCTTTTATTTTGCGGATTTTCTTCTGCAGAACTTGAGCACAAGCATCACAATGCATTTGAACGTTCAACACAAGTGTTACTTCTGGAGGAGGCTGTTATGTATATGTATGTATCACACTTCCATGTTAATTAATTCATCTAATCAATTAAACATAGTTATCAAGAGGATGAAAATATATGTAGGCAGGAGTATATGTAGTACATAGAAATGATCATTAATAAATACATATATTAATTGCACTGGTGGCATACATCCCATTTGTCTAAAATGTAGGCCCAAAACATCTCAACAACAATTGAAACATGAATTCTACTTAATTGTTCTCCAATTAAACCAACCCAAAGTTACACTATTAATTTGGTGGAGTTAATATCTCATATGGTCACTCAACCATGTACTCTTCTCTCAAAAGTCACTCAACTTTCAATTTTAACTCAAAAGTCACTCAACTTTCAATTTTAACTCAAAAGTCACTCAACTATGCACTTCTCTATCAGAAAGTAACCTAACTTTGAATTTTTACTCAAAAGTCACTCAACTATCCACTCTTCTCTCAGAAAGTCACTCAATCTATTTAATTATTTTTTTAATTAAAATTTGTTTATATTAATTGTTTATATAACAAACCAAAATTTTAAAATATAAAAAATACCATTTAAATCATTTAATAACCCGTTCCACTTGACCCGACCCACTAAAAATATAATATTAACCCATTTTATGACTCTTTCTCCTCCTCCCGTGCGTTTTTTTTCCTGGTTCTCCATTTAAACCATTTTATGACTATTTGTTACTTAGAGATAACAAATAGTCACCACATTGCCTTCATGTCTGACCGACAAAAAGTGAGACATCCAAATTCTTTCATTTTTCTAATTTGCTATTTTTTTTCCCATTATGTATTTAACAATTTAAAATCAATGTTATAGGGATTGATTGGAGCTGTTAAGGAGTTGTTTCCAGAAGCAGAACATAGAAATTGTGTTGAGTTAAAAAAAACGCAATTCTTTATTGTGTTGACTTAAAAAAAAACATCAATGGAGAACCAGGAAAAAAAAACGCACGGGAGGAGGAGATAGAGTCATAAAATGGGTCAATATTATATTTTTAGCGGGTTGGGTCAAATGGAGCGGGTCATTAAATGATTTAAATGATATTTTTTATTTTTTAAAATTTTGGTTTGTTATATAAATAATTAATATCAGAAATTTTTAATAAAAAAAACAATTAAATAGATTGAGTAACTTTTTGAGAGAAGAGTGGATAGTTGTGTGACTTTTGAGTTAAAATTCAAAGTTACGTGACTTTCTGAGAGAGAAGTGCATAGTTGAGTGACTTTTAAGTTAAAATTAAAATTGAGTGACTTTCTGAGAGAAAAATGCATTGTTGAGTGACCATTTGAGATGATATTATGTGTCTTGGCCCGATCCGTAGGGGATTCACACCATTGAAAGTATATTTGTTCTTTACATGATGTATACTGATCATATTATTTTTGCGTACGTGCACACGCAAACACGTAACTAATATTTCTCGAACCCTTTACTTATATTGTCGTATTTATATAATAGATCTTCCAAATATACATAATGTACTATTAGAAAATTCAATAAAAAATCCGATATATATATTTAAAGAATTCGAACAACATAACATTTCATTTCATGTATAACACATTAAATGTCGGTCTGACTCGTGAATTCTCCTAGCTCCCATAAACTTTAATTCTTGAATTCTTCGACTCCACGGTCCCTTTCTAGTTTCATATAGTATATAGTTAGATGTACCCAGTAGGTACCCCAAAATATCCTCTTGCTCCAAAATAAAACATTGTCCATCCTAGCTACATTATACTATTTTTTTCATTTGTTACCATGTATAGCCTATTTTGTTTTTAATAAGATGAAAATTTAGATAGTCAACCAACTAAGTTACAAACCTGAAGCAATAGAGTCACAATTTTGATTAAATATTAATCAAATTTGAACATGCATGAGATTTCCAAGTTCATATGACTTGATCTTGATTAGTCAGCTAAATTCAAGAAATAATATATAGTCTACCGAAAATTAGATGGTTATAGAAAAGAACACAAAATAAATCAATGTGCAAGTAACAAATTAATGAGACAAGAGATAATTAAATCACAAGTCATGTGCTTAATCTTAATTTAATTAACTAATGAATAGTAAGTAAGTTAAAATAAATTACCTCATCTTTTTTCTCTTGTTTGGACTCTTCTTCTTTCTTAATTTCTTCTTCCTTTGTATTTTCTTCAAATGGCTTTGTCATATGTGAAATAAGTTCAACTTTTCTACCACATTTCCTTTCCACCCTTTCACACACTTTAAGTGGATCTACATTTTTGCCTTTCACCACCACCCTACTCTCCTTGTAATCCATCGTTACTTCCTCTACTCCTGCGCTTCATTTAAAAGATAATTACAAATAACACTACTATATATTTAAGGGAAAAGGGACAAATATACCCCTGAACTATCATAAATGGTATGTCAATACCCTCCGTTATACTTTAAGGTTGTATATGCCATTACCGTCATTCTTTTGGGTTGTATATATCTTTGAATCTAACGGATGGACACATGGCATCATCTAAATGATTTACTTGATTTTATTTATTTATTTATCCAAAAAAATTGAAAACCCACCCATTTTCTATACTTTACCCACCCATGGCCCAAATTAAAATATCATGACATTTAAAACTAAAAATAAAAAAAACATAGCTTTTCATCTTCATTAAAAATCAAATAAAAGGAGAAGTGTTCTTCAATTCATTTTCCAAATCTCACAAACAAAAACCTAGAAGCATATTATTTCAATCAAAATCAAGAAATCAATTTCATTTTTTTTTTGTTCAAATCAATTTATTATTTGTTGAAAGGGGTTGAGAAAATACTACCACCATTGATGGACAAAGCTTCAAGCTTTAAAGTGGGTCTACATTCAAATCAAAAATTTCAAGCTCAAATCGATTTGTAATTGTTAAAAGGGTTTGAGAAAATACAATCACCATTGATGGACAAAGCTTCAAGCTTTAAAGTGGGTCTACAATCAAATCAAAAATTTCAAGCTCAAATTGATTTGTTATTATTGAAATGTGTTGAAAATATTTTTGAAATAGATGATGTATAAAACACCCAATAACCTAGATTCCTACTGTGCTAAATGCTAAATGAAGATGAATTTTAATTTTTTTTGTTTAGCAAGCATAAAGCTACATATTTAAAAAATTTGAAAGACACAAGATTCACATAACTTACAGGCATGTTAGTGAAAGTGAAGAATAAAGGGATGATTTTTGATGAAAATGAAGAGTGGATTTTAGCACCTCCCATTTTGGTTGTGGGTCGGGTGGATTTTTAATTTTTGGGTAAAAAATAAATAAAATTGGGTAAATCATTTAGATGATGCCACGTGTCCATCCGTTAGATTCAAGGATATACAACCAAAAGAATGACGGTAAGGGCATATACAACCTTAAAGTATAACGGAGGGTATTGACATACCATTTATGATAGTTCGGGGGTATATTTGTCCTTTTTCCCTATATTTAATAAGTATGTTTTTTTAACTATTGATGCATATAACTCAAATCGTAATAAACTATACCAAAAAACAACATCGATGTACTATTTAACACATAAAGTTGTAGTCTTTGGTTTATTGATGGTTTTAATAATGTGTTACTTGTGAGTAAATTAATTCTTGAATTGGAAACGTGCAAGGGATAAGGGAAATCAAATAGTTTAATAAATTAATGTCTAGTTCCAAATTAACAAAAAAATTTAACAATCAAATAATTAAAAAAATTGGAAAAATTAGAGAGAAATAAGACCTTGAAAGTCTTTCAAGGCTCTAGCAACTTTTCTAGCACAACCTTCACAATGCATATCAACTTTTAGCACCATCTGTTGAGCCTCTTCTTCTTCCTTTTTCTCCTAATAAATAAAAACAAAAACAAGAAAACCATTAGAGTACCTACATATATATTCATGGGCGGAGTTACAAGCTTGTCTACGAATTTGATAAAATTTTGTAATATCGACTATATATGATCATGTATTTAATTTGTACGTCAGAAACTAATTTATTTAGAACCCAATAAGCTCTCTTTTTCTTGAATTTAGAACTAAAATCTTAACTCTTGTCATTTTACTTACATAGGAGGCAATTCATAATTTGAAATTTATGAATTCCTACATCAACCTCAAGTTAATATATAAATAATATTAGAATTTACAATCAATTTTGTTTGTAGATATGTATTTGATAAGATATATATATATATATATATATACACACATGGAATCTAGATAATATTCTCATTATAAAGTACTCATATGTTGTACTCAAGATTCGCCTCGGCCTATACATTGAAATATACAACAACAATAACAATATATAACCAATATAATTTACAAAGTGGGGTTTGGAAAGGGTAGAAAGCACATATATTTCTACCCTTACAGCCATATAACAGTACATAATTTGTTTTCAGTAGACCTTCGACTCAAGGATATAAGTTTTGTTAAAGAGTAGAAACTTACCTCCCCCATCTTTATACAATGCTTATTTTTGAATGAATGTTTTCAAACTTTTTTGCACTTCAAAATTCTAGTTTTTGATGAGTCTGTGGGGGAAAAACATTTAAGTTGAGAGGTGGAGAGAAGCTGACAACAGCAAAATCTGACGTGGAATTTCTTAAATTGCATTTTACTTTCTCCGATCCAAATTATTCGTCATGTTTCTTCTTCTTTTTTTAGGGTTAAACTACATTACCAATTAAAAAGTTATTTTTTTTGTCATATGGATATGAGAAGAACTGCAATATATAATGTTATTATATCTATAGTTATTGAATATTAAAATATCAAATTGATTTGATTTAATTTAACTATAAATATTAGTCAAATTAACTCTAGAAAACGAAACGAAACGAAACGTAACAAGATGACACAATGGTCCAACTTGCTGATTCAGCATCCTATTATTTGTCCTAGCTGTCCACTATTGATCATTAATTTACGTTACTTTTTCCCTTTTAATCTCCCATTCAATTATTTTTCTTTTTAATACTCACTACTTTTAATTCCCATCTTTGTTTAAAATGGATTAGCTTTTTAGCACGCGCTTTACGTATGTACTTCATATTAATTTGTATATAATTTTATGAAAGCTACATATATTCGAAAATGATGCATTTTTATTTTTATTTTTATTTTTGGAATACATAATAGTTACTATAAAACATAAATAAATCAAATAATAAGATTAGACTAATTTAAACGTAAAATGTGCAATTTTGATAATTCAACAGTTAACTTACACCAATTGACAAAACAATTTGTCTTTCACTTATTGTCTCTAATATTTTGTTCTCCAAAAAGCCCAATTCAAAGTCTATGTTAACCATGATAATAATTGTGAAAGAATATTTGAGAACCCAAAGAGGCCGAAGAAATTAGTACACATTAGATATGACAAAGGAAGAATACTTTTTGGATATAGAAAATCTCTAAATTATTAGATGAATGTACCAAATGTCCCTTTTTTCAATTCCCTAAATATGAAAATGAGTGAAAAGAACTAGAAAAGGAAACAAAATACAAATGAAAATCCAAATCAATGACGTAGAGGATGATGATCATCAATCAAAGTTAGAGAAAATAATAAAGGCATAAGAGATTCTTTATCTTCATTTACAATTTGAATAAAGAAAAGTGATAAGAGATTCGTATCATTATTACATTTTTGTATTATTAACTCTCTTTATCTTCATTTACAATTTGAATAAAGAAAAGTGATAAGAGATTCGTATCATTATTACATTTTTGTACTATTGTTTACTAGTTAGTAACCATAAAGTCTCATAGTACTTAAACCTCACAAAAGAATAAATATTAAGTGATTTTTTAAAATAAAAATTGTTCAAGCTTTGATAGACAAAGTTATCAGATATTTGTATTGATAATGATAAGAGATAGATTGCACTCGTAGAAGTAATCGAGATGCATGCAAGATTAAAATATATTTTTTTAGTGCTAAATTTCATGTCAAGTCAAAATAAGATAAACAAATTGAAACAGACTACAGAAAATCATTTTCTGTATGTGTGATGGGCATTGATGAAGTGACATGTGTGGTGATAAAATGTTGTTATCTCCATGGTTATCTGGTCTTTGGTATAATCAAACAAGTCCTTGCTATTTTTTTGTGCATAATTCAAAATCTTTTTTTATTTTTGGAAAAGAGAATTTTGAAGGTGATTGATTTCTCAATCTTTTGTCTTGTTGTAAGCAACTTGATGCCTCTATATGGTTACCATTCACCACTATCATTACATTGCTCACCATTGTGCTTTTTCACTCAAAGACAATATATATATAAATACAAAATTTCCGTCAATTGATTTTGTAGTCTTTTATCAAATTATTTCAAATTTTACATTTTTTTGAGAAAATTGTATAAAATAACAAACTATTAATTCAAATTGAATGCTATAACCATAATTTGCTTTAATTGTAACTCGTAGCAAACTGATGCCATTTCACCTCTCTCCCTGAATTTCTCGCTCGCCACTCTTGTTTCTCGCTGGGCAGTCTCTCCTCTCCTCTCTCACTTTATACAAACACAAATGTATAAAATGTGTTTGTGTTTGTATAAAGCGAGAAAAAATTGTATATATACATATATTTTCGTTCCCCTCTCCCATATCTCGCTCACCACTAGATCTTGCTCGCCACTCTCACTCGCCTCTCTCACTTTATACAAACACAAATGTATAAATTGTGTTTGTGTTTGTGTAAAGCGAGAGAAAATTGTATATACAAATACAAATACATATATTTTCGTCCTATACACTTATGATTATACAAATACAGATCTTCCCCTACCCAGTTTTCTTTTGTCTTTCTCTCTTTCTCGCTTTACAAACACATATTATACAATTGATTCTTTTGTATATGTATACCGAAACAGATTATACAGTTGCTTCTTTTGCATATGTATAGCGAAATATACATATTAATAGTCATAGCAAACATAAAGTTTGCTATGGAGTGCAATTATGCAAACTATAACTATAACATACAAATATGATTTTTATTTTTGCTATATGTGAAAGTTGCTCTTTTATTTTTTGGTTAGAAATTTTTATATTTATAAATTATATGTAAGGGATCTTTTAATAAATTATTAGGCATACTTCACTAACATATATATTATTATTACTTATATTTTCAAAATATTACGTATCTTACCACTAATTAAGAGTTTATTTTACGTATCTTACACTTAGATACATGTATTTTGCTACCAGATACACAAAAGTAAGAAGAGAGGCAGCGAGATTGAGGAGGAAGGCGAGCGAGATTCATAATATGTATCCAAATATATGGGAGATTGGCGAGCGAGATGGGAGAGAGACGAGCGAGATTTGCTATGTATCCAGATACATGCGAATCCACTTTGATATAATGTATCTAGAACAAATTACACCTAAATTTGACCCATGTATCCGAGATTCATGTATCTGGACATATCCGGAGTCACCAAAATTTGATAAAATACGTAATATTACATACTAAAGTATATCTAAGTAATTAACTTCTAAACCAATGGAATTTATATGCTATATGGATAACATTCTCATTATGGGCTTTTGTGTACGAATGTGGTACGAACTCTTGATTTTATGGGCCAATTTAATAGAGCAAAATAGCCCAACTTTATGAATGGGCCATGGGAATTCACTTCCAAAATGAAATACTTAATGGACATCCTCAACAAGTTACTTGCTTTTGATTTAGATGTGTTACGTAATTTTGGGAGACATTAATTTTGGTATTTTACTTTACGAAGAAACATTTCAATCATGCCAAGAATATTTTGAATATTAGTGGTTAGAATAATATATTTAGATTTCATTGTTCTTCTTTATCGTCGATTCATTTGGATAAGATTGCATGAGAATAAAGTATCAAATGAGGTGTATATAGAGACATCATTATCAAAGTAAACATGTTTGAACTTCAAGAGATCACATGTCGAACTTGTGGCATTTCAAGAAGGTTTCAAAATGTTTGATACTAGATTTTTATGCAAACTTTCAGAACCTTCAATAAATTAAATTCATTACATAATTCATACTTTAACGTGATAATCATTCTCTTTTGATTTTCGTATTCAATCAAACATCATCATATAAATCGAAATAATTTAGACAACAAAGTTATTAAGCCGCCCCTCACTTTGGATTTATGGATTTTGAGTTTGGTCCCTCACTACCCACCTTGACATTAAACTTCTACCTAAAATAAAAGAATCACACATTTTTGTAGTACTAATGATGCTGACCTTTGACTTTTCTATATCATCGCTATCAATTTGGTTTTAATTATTAAGACCAATTATTATTAAATATTAATTTGAGATTGACGTAGGAAGAAGATAAACTTTAAATCTTGAATTTGTTTCTGGAAATTGTTTGTTTTTTTCCCTAAACTATCAAACTTTAATAGTCAACGAATTGAGTCGAAAAGCATGAGTTATAAAGGAGACTAAAAAAAACTAGGTAATTTCTTTCCGTATGTCCAAGTCCGAGTGAACAGACTTACCTAGTGCATGTGTTGATAAGAGATAACATATACCTCCTAAAATCAATTGAGATGCATGCAAATTAACTGACACACCGTAATTATCACATCCACTTAAAACTTTTGTAATTAGTCCATTCTCTTTTGTGTCACCTATGTTTAATTATCTTCATTTACACTCTGTATAAGAGAAGAAGTGGAAAAGATTTATGATTACAAATTAGGTAAAGTTTAATGACAAATTAAAGGTTGAATGACAATTCAAGATTCATATGTATGCAGATATATGGGAGATTGGCGAGGGAGATTTACTATGTATCAAGATACATGCGAATCCACTTGGATACAATGTATCTAGAACAAATTACACCTAAAATTGACCCATGTATCCGAGATACATGTATCTGGACATATCCGAAGTCACCAAAATCTGGTAAAATACGTAATATTACAGACTAAAGTATACCAATGAAATTTACATGCTATACGGATAAGATTCTCATTATGGGCTTTTGTGTACGAATGTGGTACGAACTCTTGATTTTATGGGCCAATTTAATAGAACAAAATAGCCCAATTTTATGAATGGGCCATGGGAATTCATTTCCAAAATGAAATACTTAATGGACATCCTCAACAAGTTACTTGCAATTTGTAAAGTATCTCTTTTGATTTAGATGTGTTGCGTAATTTTGGGAGACATTAATTTTGGTATTTTACTTTACGAAGAATCATTTCAATCATGCCAAGAATAACAACATTTTCTGAATATTAGTGGTTAGGATAATATATTTAGATTTCATTGTTCTTCTTTATCGTCGATTCATTTCGATAAGATTGCATGAGAATAAAGTATCAAATGGGGTGTATATAGAGAGATCATTATCAAAGAAAACATGTTTGAACTTCAAGAGATCACATATCGAACTTGTGGCGTTTCAAGAAGGTTTCAAAATGTTTGATAATAGATTTTTATGCAAACTTTTAGAACCTTCAATAAATTAAATTCATTACAGAATTCATACTTTAACGTGATAATTATTCCCTTTTGATTTTCGTATTCAATCAAATATCATCGTATAAATAGAAATAATTTAGAATTATGCTATTGATCAACAAAGTTATTAAGCCGCCCCTCACTTTGGATTTATGGATTTTGAGTTTGGTCCCTCACTACCCACCTTGACATTAAACTTCTACCTAATATTCACACATTTTTTTAGTACTAATGATGCTGACCTTTAACTTTTCTATATCATCGCTTTTAATTATTAAGACCAATTATTATTAAATATTAATTTGAGATTGATGTAGGAAGAAGATAAACTTTAAATCTTGAATTTGTTTTTGAAAATTGTTTGTTTTTTCCCCTAAACTATCAAACTTTAATAGTCAACGAATTGAGTCGAAAAGCATGAGTTATAATGGAGATTAAAAAAATTAGGTAATTTTTTTCCATATGCCCAAGCCCGAGTGAACATACTTATCTAGTGCATGTGTTGATAAGAGATTATATATACCTCCTAAAATCAATCGAGATGCATGCAAATTAATTGACACACTGCAACTATCACATCCACGTAAAACTTTTGTAATTAGTCCATTCTTTTTTGTGTCAACTATGTTTAATTATCTTCATTTACACTCTGTATAAAAGAAGAAGTGGAAAAGATTTATGATTACAAATTAGGTAAAGTTTAATGACAAATTAAAGGTTGAATGCCTACATACATAGAGTTAGGCTTAGGCACCATGTGGGGGCAGTGCACCAACCCAACCAATTTAGATAAATATTTAAATAAATTTCCTAACACATATAAATGATTTGGATCAAAATTATTTAATTCTATTGAACTCAAAATGTATCTCCCTGCTTATTAATGATAAAATGTGAAGATTCTTTTTTGCCCTTGCTAATATTCTAATTTAATATGTAGTAATAGATTAATTTCCATTCATTTTATCATGTTGTTATGCTTATCATCATAAAATTTACCTGTAATTGATTATGTAGATCTAGAAAAAACAGTTAAAAATAATATGTGTTTGGTATTAATATTGATCGTTTCCTTTTTCTTTAATCAGAGGTCTTGAGTTTAAATTCTTGTAAAAATGAAAAAATCTTGTTGGAAGGGTCATCCCCACAAATAAAATTTAATCGACTTCAATATAAATATCGAATATCGAATATCGAATATCGAATATCGAATCAGAAATCAAAAGAGAATATATTTGCTTGATATGAAAGGGAAGGTGAAATGTGACCATCAAAGGCAGTACATGCAAATTGAGAGTATATATATAGTCAGCAATTCTAGTGGCTGCCAATTTAGATGATATCATGAATTTTAACTTTCATTTAATTTCAAAGATGTTTTCCTTCTTTATTCCTTCTTTTTTCTTTTTCTTTTTTCTTCATAAGACTTTTTGATGTTTCATTCATACTAGTATATATTCTAATTAAAGCTACACTCTTTTCACTCAACACAGAATCCATTTTCTTCAAGTATCAACCATGGGGGGTGGAAAGGTATGAATTCACTAATTTTCTGTATGCAAAAAAGATTTTGATCGATCTATCTATAGCTATATGACGTTTGATCAAGAATTTAATACATATGATTGATTATATAATCGAGATTCTGAATTTTTGTTCTCGTATTGTATCTTTTCACTTCCACATAAACAAAATAATTTAGTTCATTCTTGCATAATATTGTTCACAAATCTTTCTATAAGAGCTTTGATTAATTGTGTGCTTACAATTACTTTAATTTATTATTTAATTATCAGACCACTATCATGATACTCAAAGTTGATCTTCAATGTTCAAGCTGCTACAAAAAGGTCAAAAAAATTCTCTGTAAATTCCCTCGTAAGTTTCTTTTTTCTTGAATTCTTCAATATTATTATAATATGAATAAGAATTAATTTGATTTTTTTTTTTTGTGGTTTCAATTTTTTTTTGGGAATAGAAATTAGAGACCAAGTATATGATGAGAAGGGCAATACAGTCACAATCACTGTGGTTTGTTGTAATCCTGAAAAACTTCGTGACAAATTGTGTAGTACAGGATGTGGAGTAATCAAAAGCATTGAAATCAAAGACCCTCCAAAGCCCAAACCTCCCGAAAAGCCCAAAGAGCCCGAAAAGCCCAAACAACCTGAAAAGCCTAAAGAACCCGAAAAGCCCAAACAACCTGAAAAGCCTAAAGAACCCGAAAAGCCCAAACAACCTGAAAAGCCTAAAGAACCCGAAAAGCCCAAACAACCTGAAAAGCCTAAAGAACCCGAAAAGCCCAAACAACCTGAAAAGCCTAAAGAGCCCGAAAAACCTAAGCCCAAAGAGCCCGAAACGTCCAAAGAAGTTCCTAATAAACCAATTGCTCCACCACCAGCACCAACGCCCATAATGCCAATGCCAATTCAAGAATGCCCACAACCGCCACACGGATATTGTTGTGGACAATGCTACGAAGGCCAAACCGGGGGCCCATGTTATCAAGGGTATGGAAGACCGGTCCCTCCGCCCCCGAGACATTGTTGTGGAGAATGCTACGAAGGCCAAACCGGTGGCCCATGTTATCAAGGGTATGGAAGACCAGTCCCTCCGCCCCCGGGACATTGTTGTGGACAATGCTACGAAGGCCAAACTGGGGGGCCATGTTATCAAGGGTATGGAAGAATGGTCCCTCCGCCCCCATGTTATGATAACTATGGGCCTGGGCCTAGGCCTGTGCCTTATGGCTATGGTATGGGCTGTAATGTGAGCAGATGTGATCAGTACTTTAATGATGAAAATGCTAATGGCTGCTCAATTATGTAAGGTGGCCCAATTGTTATGGTTCAATGTCTGGGCTCATCAATGTGGGCCCTTCTATTAATGTGGTTATCGTTTTTTCTTTACAAATTGTATAAATGATAAACAATGTATAGTTAATTTTCTTTTGTAAAATAGAATAAAAGTTGTTAACTAGATTGTTGGCAAAGCCTTGATTGATTAATAAATGTCATTTTTCAACATTACTAGTGGTCTAATTTCTCAAAAAATTTAACAAGTTCAATTGAAAATGCTTCTAATTCCAATTTGTGAATCACTCAACTAAGATACTTAAGTTTCCACATATAATAAGTTATAAGATTATTATTTTGGTTGGAGAAAAAAAAGTATTGTACGACTAATTAAGCCCAATTATTCTAGAATTAGAGTTATAAGTCTTCAATATTTGGGATTTTTTTTTTTTTTGAAAAACAACTCGTGGTTTGATGTTTCATTCTTTTGGCTCTCCAACGCAATCGGTTAGGAAGTTAATTATTGTTGAAACTATGACAATAAGAAATACATTACAAACTACTTTGGTATTCACGTAAAAAATCATGTAATACAATGCAAACAACTACTATAGAGGGTGTTTTTGTAAAAGATAAAAGTTTGGTGTAAAATTTTAATTTTCAAAAGATCCCAAATAATGATATTTGACCCAAATATTAGAAAAAACTAGTATTTGGGAATTTGAGATATTTGTCAAAAATATTTGCCAAATAATGGCAAATAGTATGGACGAACACTATTTGCCAAATTTTTCGCCAAATATTAATTGGGAAATCTATGGCCAAACGGGCCCATAGAGTTAGGCACCACGTGGGGGCAGTGCACCAACCCAATCAACAGGGGCGGCTCTACAGCTTTGCAAAAAAAGCAATTGGCTTAGGCCCCAAAATTTGAGGGGCCTCATTTTTAAAAAAAATAATAGGTTATAAGTATTTTTTTTTTTAAAAATATCGAGTATTATTTGTAGAAAATAAAAACTTTTTATAAAAGAGCAAAGAAGTAATAGAAGTTTGACAAATTATGAATATTATGTCTCAAGAAAGATTAAATAATTGACAATAATAAACTTCATAAAAAATATATATTCAAATTTAAGGCCTCTATTCGAATTTGGCTTTAGGCCATCGATTTATTAGAGCCGCCCTTGCCAATCAATTAAGATAAATATTTAAATAAATTTCCTAACACATATAAATGATTTGGAGCAAAATTATTTAATTCTATTGAACTCAAAAGTATCTCCCTGCTTATTAATGATAAAATGTGAAGATTCTTCCATATTTCCATACTTATTAGCAGGGCCGACTTAACCCCTAGGCCACTAAAGTCATCGCTTGGGGCCCCATATATTTTGGGGCCCCCATTTTTAAAAACAATTACTTATATATGTTATTTGAAAAATAATAAATATATGTACTATGAGTGTTATGATTTCTACTAAGAAAATTGCATATGAGATAAAAATAAACTGAATTTCGTAAGAAACAATTTGATGAAAATGTGGATAGCGAAATCACAAAATCCCTTGAAGAACCTTTTAGAATTGGTTGTTTTATATATGTAGAGTAGATCAAACTATTTTTTCACTTCAAAATAGATTTGAACCAATTGAAACATATGGAAATATTTTTGATTTCTTATTTAGTGGTAAAATATTGAGATCACTAGATGATGAGAATTAAAAAAAAATTGTCTTAACCTTGAACTTTCTTTATCATGTGTTAGTTATTATGATATTGATGGTTTAGATTCATTTTTTGAATTAAAAGTGTTAAGGGAAATAATACAAGTAGAAGATCATGATCTAATAAAAATTCTCAATCAAATAAAAAGACTTGATTCTTTTCCAAATACTCATATTGCTTATAGAATAATGTTAACAGTTCTTATAACTATTGCCTCAGCCGAAAGAAGTTTTTTGTGAAATTAAAATTGATTAAATCTTCTTTAAGATCAACAATGTCTAAAGAGAGATTGAATGAATTAGCTATATCATCATTTGAAAAGAAATTATTAAACCAAATTGATTATAATACAGTACCTAATGACTTCACATCTAAAATAGCTAGAAAAGTAGATATTAAATAAAAGTATAGATGATGAAAAAAAAATTAGGGCTCCTCTCTTAAGTTTCGCTTTAGGCCCCCAATGTTGTTGAGTCGTCCCTGCTTATTAGCCTGTCATGAGAGCAATTTCCGCATAATTTTTTTTTTTTCCAGATACTTCAAATCTTCACCTGATATACCATTAAAAGTACCCGCTAGTTCTGATTTGAGTTTTAACTTGATGGAATTTTTCAGGTAGATCTGAAAGGGAAAGGAGAGGGTTGGGAATCCGTGGAGAGAGAAGGAAGATAATGTTGACTATGGTTAAATGGTTGGTTTTAGCAAATAATCTGAACCGTCTATTAATTTGAGGGACACGTGTAGCAAAAATTAACCCCCAACTGGAGGAACTGCTCCAATGGAGGGGAGCTGAATCCGACCTTCGACTCAAAAATATAAATTTTGTTAAAGAGTAGAAACTTACCTTCCCCATCTTTAAACAATGCTGATTTTCGAATGAATGTTTTCAAACTTTTTTGCACTTCAAAATTATAGTCTGTGTTTGTAATTGTCTCACTGCTTGTAGTGGGGAAAAACATTTAAGTTGAGAGGTGGAGATAAGCTGACAACAGCAAAATCTGACGTGGAATTTCTTAAATTGCATGTTACTTTCTCCGTTCCAAATTACATTCACTTATATCAATTAAAAGTATTTTTTTTGTCATATTAATTAGAGAAGAATTGCAATTTATAGTGTTTTTTAAATATATTTTTGAATATTAAAATACCAAATTGATTTAATATAACCATAATTATTAATCAAATTAACTCTTAAGAAATGAAACGCAACAAGAATTTTGAGACGAAGGGAGTATCGAAGACACAGTGGTTCAATTTACTGATTCAACTTCCTATTATTTGTCTTAGCTGTCCACTATTGGTCATTAATTTACGTTACTTTTTTTCCTTTTAATCTTCCATTTAATATTTGTCTTTTTAATACTCACTGCTTTTATTTCCTATCTTTGTTTAAAATGGATTAGCTTTTTAGCACGCGCTTTACGTATGTATTTCATATTAATGCGTATATAATTTTATGAAAGCTACATATATTACAAAATGATGCAATTGAGTTATCACATTTTTATTTTTATTTTTGTTAGTTACTAAACATAAATAAATCAAATAATAAGATTAGACTAGTTAAACTTAAAATGTGCAATTTTGATAATTCAACACTTTTAGCCATGGTTAACTTACAACAATTGACAAACAAATAGTGGATTCAACAACAATTTGTCTTTCACTAACTTAAAAGTCTTGAATTTAATATTTTGTTCTCCAAAAAGGCCAATTAAAAGTCTGTTAACCATGATAATAATTTTGAAAGAATATTTGAGAACCCAAAAAGGCCAAAGAAATTAGTACACATTAGATATGACAAAGGAAGCATACTTTTTGGATAAACTCTCTAAATTATTAGATGAATGTACCAAAGGTCCCTTTTTTCAATTTCCTATATATAAAAATGAGTGAAAAGAACTAGAAAAGGAAACAAAATTCAATTGAAAATTCAAACACAATAGTAGTTTGTTGTACAAATCAATGACTTAGAGGATGATCATCAAAGTTAGAGAAGAATAGAGGCATAAGAGATTCTTTATCATCATTTACAATTTGAACAAAGAAAAGTGATAAGAGATTCTTATCATTATAGTATATTTTTAGTATTATTGTTTACTAGTTAATAACCATAAGGTCTCATACTACTTAAACCTCAACAAAGAAAAAGTATTAAGTGATATTTTTCGAATATTTATAGTAATAAGAGATAGATTGCATTCGTAGAAGTAATCAAGATGCATGCAAGATTCAAATGTTTTTTTTTACTTTTAAATTTTGTGTCAAGTCAAAATAAGATAAGCAAATTGAAACATCAGGTTGGAGCATGTGTGATGGGGATTGATGAAGTGAAATGTGTGGTGATAAAATGTTGTTATCTCCATGGTTATGTGGTCTTTGGTACAATCAAACTCCCTGCTAATTTTTTGTGCAGAATTCAATTTTTTATTTTGGAAAAGAGAGTTTTGAAGGTGATTTATTTCTCAACCTTTTGTCTTGTTGTAAACAACTTGATGCCTCTATAGGGTCACAATTCACCACTATCATTGCATTGCTCACCATTGTGCTTTTTCACTCAAAGACAATATATATAAAAATACAAATTTTCCGTCAATTGATTTTGTAGTCTTTTATCAAATTATTTCAATTTTTACATTTTTTTTTTTGTTAGGAATTTTTATATCTATACTTAAGAGATCTTTGCGTGATCTTTTGAGTGGAGAGGTTCGAAATAGGAGAGTCGAATTATGAATTCAAACATAGGTTCTTTTAAAAAATAATAATTATAAGTCATTTGAATAATTAATAATTCTAAGTATTAAAGGCATACTTCACTAACATATATATTATTATTACTTATACTTTCAATATATTACGTATTTTACCACTAATTAAGATTTTTTTTTTACGTATCTTACACTTAGATACATGTATTTTGCTACCAGATACACAAAATAGGTAGAGATGTTAGTGAGATTGAGGAGGGAAGCGAGCGAGATTCGTGTATCTAGACACATGGGAGAGTGGCGAGCGAGATGGGAGAGAGAAAAGGGAGGTGAGTGAGATTTCTATGTATCCAGATACATGCGAATCTTCTTGGACACAATGTATCTAGAACAAATTACACATAAATTTGACCCCACATATACGAGATACATGTATCTGGGCATATCTCTGGAGGCACCAAAATCTGGTCAAATACCACTACAACAAAAGCAACTTTTAACGACAATAAATAGACACATTAATAAAGAGTGCTAAAGTCTTTACCAACATTAATTAGTTAAGTGTCATTAGATTCAATGTCGCTAAAGGCTCTAGGGACATA